GATATTAGGAAGAATTTCTTTCCAGAGAGGGTGATCAACCATTGGAATGGGCTGCCCAGGGAAGGGGTGGATTCTCCATCCCTGGAGGTTTTTAAGATGAGACTGGATGTGGCATCAGTGCCATGGGCTGGGAACCACGGCGGGGTTGGATCAAGGGTTGGGCTTGATGATCTCGGAGGTCACTTCCAGTCCAACTGATTCTATGATTTTATGATCCTGTGATTCTTTCCCTGCTCGTGGCACGGGTGGGGCTCACCAGGGTGTGATCACGGAATGGTTTGAGTTGGGAGGGACCCGGAAGGATCCCCCTACCACTGGGCCCGGGTCACTCCAGGGCGCCTTCCCACAGGTCCTGATCTGGAACCTGGACATCGGGGAGCCGGTGAAGATGATCGACTGCCACACGGACGTGATCCTGTGCATGTCCTTCAACACGGACGGCAGCCTCCTGGCCACCACCTGCAAGGACAAGAAGCTGCGCGTGGTGGAGCCGCGCTCTGGGAGGGTCCTGCAGGTACCACGGGACAAGGGGGTTGGGAATAAGATCTTGGGGAGGAATCCCGCTGGAATGTCCCAAAAACATCCCTAGGGTGCTGCAGGTGCTCATGAACAGGGCAGGGGCTGCAGGCCATGCTCTGCTTGGAGAGGGTTCTTTCATCAGGTGGAGGTGATGGGGAGGGCTCGGCCTCATCCCAAGCCTCATCCCTCCACCAGGTTGGAAGGTTTTATTCCTTTGTTAATTAAGGCTTTGTGGAAAACAGTGGAAATTAAAGAGGGAGGTGCAGAGGTCACAGTTTGGAGGCAGGTGGTGGGTTCTCAGTAAAGGTGGTCTCTGATATTCATGGAAATGGGCGTTTTTGGCTTGCACAGGGGACAGGTCCTGAGTCACAGCGTCCCCACACCGCTGGGGACAGAGCTGGCATGTCCCAGGGATGAGCTGGGAGAGGAAAGAGGGGCAAGGAAGGGGCTTTCCTGGGGTGTCAGTGGTGCTGACAGAGCTCCCCCTGCCCTGCAGGAGGCCAGCTGCAAGAACCACCGTGTCAACAGGGTGGTGTTCCTGGGCAGCACCAAGAGGCTGCTCACCACGGGCGTGTCCCGCTGGAACACGCGGCAGATCGCCCTGTGGGACCAGGTGGGTGCTGGGACCCCTCCAGCCCTGATGGAATCCCCATTCCAGCCCTGCTGGGACCTCCATTCCATCCCTGCTGGGACCCCCTTCATCCCTGCTGGGACCTCCATTCCACTCCATCCCTTCTGGGACCCCATTCCATCCCTGCTGGGACTTCCATTCCATCCCTGCTGAGACTCCTGTTCCATCCTTCCTGGGATCCCCATTCCATCCCTGCTGGGACCCCCATTCCATCCCTGCTGGGACCCCCTTCATCCCTACTGGAACCTCCATTCCACTCCATCCCTTCTGGGACCCCACTCCATCCCTTCTGGGACCCCATTCCATCCCTACTGGGACCCCATTCCACCCCTGCTGGACCCTGCTCAGCACCAGCACTGGGCCATCCCGGTGGCTCAGGCCCTGTCCCTGTTTTCCAGGAAGACCTGTCCATGCCCCTGATCGAGGAGGAGATCGATGGGCTCTCGGGGCTCCTCTTCCCGTTCTATGACGCCGACACCCACATGCTGTACCTGGCTGGGAAGGTATGGGATGTCTGGAGCATCTCCCTGGGCATTCCCAACCTGTGTGCCCCTGGCACTGCCCGGGGATGTGGTGTTGGGGGTTGTCATCAGAGAATGGGTTGGGTTGGAAGGGACCTTAAACATCATCCAGGTCCTGGATGGGCAGGGACACCTCCCACTATCCCAGGTTGTTCCAACCTGGCCTTGGACGCTTCCAGGGATCCAGGGGCAGCCACAGCTTCTCTGGGCACCTTGTGCCAGGGCCTCCCCACCCTCACAGGGAGGAATTTCTTCCCAAAATCCCACCTCTCCCTGCCCTCTGACTGGTCTTTATGATGGTCCTTATTCCCCCTCACATTTCCCAGAGGAATAACATGTCCCTGTTCCCGTTGCTGCTCCAGGGCGACGGCAACATCCGCTACTACGAGATCGGCTCCGAGAAGCCCTACCTGAGTTACCTCATGGAATTCCGCTCCCCCGCCCCGCAGAAAGGACTGGGTAAGGATCCCGGGCTGCTGCTGCTCTGCTGGGAGCAGGGAAAAGCTGGATCATGGAAGGTGCTTAATGAAATGTCACAGGCAAATGGGTTTGGCTCGGGTTCGGGATGGGTTTGGGATGGGTCTGGGATGGGTTTGGGATGGGTCTGGG